AGTGACTGCAATAATTTTTTGTGGGTGGCATCTTTTTTAGACCAACTGCATGATTGGGATAAAGTTAGACAAGCTTTTGAATACAAGGCCATAGCTTGAAAGGTCATAGCTAAGTCTCTCTAAGGAAAAAAACAAGAAAGGTTCAGCGTACACAGACACCACATGCTTAAGAAAGTTACAAGAGGCTTTTTCATGAAAATCTACCCAGGGCTTGAAGTGGAGATGATCTCTCTGAAGAGGTTCATTTCACACTATGTGAAAATAAAGGCATTCATTCTCACTTTTTAAGGCTTAAGGAGGACTACTGGAAAAGTGAGAGAAATGTGAGACTAAATGAAAATGCTTCATGATGGCTATTCTCCAACCGTGGCAAAGGAACTAACAGGATTTGTTTATGATTGCCGTACCAATAAATAAATAAATAAAATCAAAGCACATTTTAAACTCAACATTTTGCTCCAGACTGAGCAGGCAGCACTGCCTGACACACAACATTACAAGACCCAGATTTCAATTGCTTACAACTTTGACAGTCTTAAGCATTTGGATTGAAAATTTCCAAGCCGGGCATCTGCCTCAGGCTGTTTGTTTGGGAGGGGCCAGGAGGGGAGTTTCAGGAAGAGCACTTCTGAGACTAGGAAAATAATACCATCTTCTAATCATGTTCAGAAAATTCTTCCAGCTGTTTCTTGAGGCGTTTGGTTCTACCACTCCCCACTTCTGGGGGCAGGGGCCAATCATTTCGCTTCCCCAAGTCCCCTGCCTCATTCAATACACTCATGTCCTATGAAAAATGAGGCAGAAGTCTTATAAGGTAACTGCCTCAGCCTCTACACAGCTGATGGAAGAGACAGCACGTGATCAAATAATTAAAAAGCCAGTTTGATCATACAGTAGGCTATGCAGTGGCCAGTCACATATATGGCTGGACAGGCAGAGACTCCTCCCATTGTTTAGCCCCAGTAGCCTAGGGGCTAGAGGCACATGTGCGCATGACACTTTAAAGTGGGCTAAATGCTTTTGCACCACTTTAATGCTGTCTGTGTTTGCACACATCGGCAGCGTATTGCGTATTAATTCTAGCTGCTGTAATGCGCCTTAAATGACTTGGGGCGCAGCAAACTAAAACTTGTAGCTGTGGCTGCATGCCAGCCAGGAGTTTTAGTTTGCTGCCCCTACAACCGCAGAGCAAAGCACCAGGCTCCATGCAGCTCAGGGGCTCTGCAGGAAACCCTGCAGGCAGCCTAGCAGCAGCCCGGGAAGGCAGGCTCCACCCAAGAAAAGATCAGGCAAGCCTGATCTTTTTTTTTTTCCCCTGGAGCCTGCCTGCCTGAGCTGTGCAGGGGCCTGGTGCTTCCCTCCACGGCTGCGATGCCCCCTAGGACTGCCTGAGCTGGGTGCCTGCAGGCAGGTGCCACCTGGAGTGGGGGGCTGCCACTGCCGTGGAGCGATGCACCAGCCCCACCCACAGCACAGGGACCGCTCCACCTGCCAGCAGCTCGCCCTCCCCTCCCCACTGGAGAGACAAGTCAGCCAGCAGGGTGTGTGCCCGACACAGGGGTTTAATCAGACCTCAATTTAAGTGGTGTTTTTTAAAACCCACCACTTCAATTTAGGGCCCTCATTTCGTCTACACATGCCCTAGAGCACTCACCCCGGAAGCAAGAGACCTACGTTCTAGGCCTCCTCTCTTCAGAGGGGAGTTTGAATTTATACCCAATTTCCTGGCAGGATGCTCTTAATTGTCATGGCTTAAGCTAGGTGTCCTCTCCAGTACAACACAAAACTTTCCACCCCACTAGAAGCAAGGCTTCAGGCTAGAAACCAGTGCCTTTCTAGAGCACGATCCAGCTCAATGAGCCACAACATTCTCTGGTCTGACCTCCTCCTCCTCCTCATCCCATGCATCTTCCTCAGGAGGTCAGCTTCAGAAGAAATACTGGAGAGGGTACTGTATATTGTCTAACCTGCCCCATTCAATATACTCTTACGTCTTATGAAAAGTGAGGCAGAGGTGGTTAAAGCACTGTGCATGCTTAGTGTGCAAACACACGCTTGTGTGTCCGCAGTGCAGGGGTAATATAAAATTGCAATCTGTGCATAACTGCCAAAAATGGCCACCTTAAACAGCTACAAAGCTGCTGTTTGGGCACATAAAGACAAACACAATTCTGTCCAATCTGTGCCCATAACATGTATATTGAACATTTAATAGAATATAATTTTGTCAAAATAACTATTAAAAAACGTATAGAAATGAAGCCAGAATTTAAATAAAGTTGACTGAAGCTGAAACAAGCTATGTATACCATAGACCTATACCAGTTTCTTCTAACTGGCAACCAACTGAATAGGTAATACTTCTAAGAAGCTTTTGACCTGGAGGGGTCTCAAGTTGCACAGCAAAAAAATCTGGAGACTGGTTTGGCACGCCTTTCCTGAAAAAGTAGAATGAGTGGTTATTTTCAAGCCTGGAATTTAGTAATGTTGTGGGCTGGTCACCTGAATTTACCTCATTCTTTGTACATAAACAGCCTTTACAAGAAGTTGACTAATCCTTTTTCTCACAGATACCAAAATATTGAAAGTTAACTGACTGCAACTAGAAAAGGTAGGCAGTGCTTTTTTCAATGTTACTTGGTGCTGAAGGCAATGCTGTCTGGTATTGAACCCAATTTTAAAAAAATAATGAAGAAAGTATCACATTCATTTAACACTCTTAATGGCCATATCTCATTCCTCCATTTCCCACAGCAATGCAACTTTTTGTTGCATCCATGTCCCACCATTCACTGCTTGCTAGATGAAAATATAAAAATATTGCTGCATTGAGAAAATATGTTTAACAAGCTTCTGTCTTCACAGGCAAGTCCACCTCTTTCTGTATGCTGCTCCAGTAGAGCAGGATCATGTCTTGTCCTGAAAATGGAGAGGGGCACTGCAGTCTTTCACATGGCATATGTTTACAGCAGGCAGATCAGAAATGGCATGAGAAAGGGAGATAGATTATTATTTAGATCAGGTGTTTCAAACATAGGGCCTGTGGGCTATCACCAGAAGTTATAGGGTGTGGCCTAGTGCAGAATTCAGGGCCCTCTGGCCATGACCACTGGTGGTGAGCTAGGCTCACTGCTGCAGCTGCTTTCTAACTCTCCCCATTGTAGCAGACCCCCATTCCCAGACCCGTCACCTTATCTGGACCCATTGCCAGATCTGCTGCCAGTGACCACAGTGGCTGTCCCCAGGCCTTGGGCCAGATCTGCCTTGCAAGAAGCCCCGTGTCCCAGGGCCTCAGGTGAGCTTGGCACCACTGATTTAGATCAAAGGGAATTCTGGGCATTTGACTACAAAGACCCACCAATCTGGATGGCACTGTATCCAGCAGGCATCCCACAACCGGTAGCAAAATATTCACACAAGAACATGAGCCTGCAGGCAGGGTGGAGGGAACTTGGATGCCCACCTAAAGTGCATGCTGCTAGCAATGTAGTTTGCAGCACCGTGATGACACAGTGTGAACAGAGGCCACTGCAACAGCACGCTTGGCTGCATGGTATCAACACATCTTATGCTGATGCTTCTTTTTAACAGGTGCCTGCAAATTCTGGTTTCCCCTTTTCAGATTTATAGGTTATCTTAACCTGTGTAAGACAGCAAACAAGAAGGATACATGCATTTCCAACATGATCACTATTTCAGAGGAGGAAACTGTGTTCTATAGATGCCAATGGCATAAACACTAGGCAGTTATTAGCTACTAGCTATTTTGTCCAAGAGTTAAGTTAGCTAATATACAAGTAAGGTAGGCAAAAAGCAGGTAAACTATTAGTACAAAGCTTATTTATTAACTAGAGGCCCAGCTAGGATAGCAGAGAAACAAAAGGTTTGTCTTCTTGTTAGATACTAGGGTTTAGGAAGATATACAACTAACCAGTCAGCTGTCCTTGAGGAATCCTGGAGTCAGGCAGGGCTGTTAAAGGAATCATGCTGATGCTCAAGTAATAAAAAAAAAATAAGTACCCTTGCTCTCACTTTGTGCAGGGTTGTACAACCGGATTTAGAAACATGCTTCATACATATATGTGATCATTGGAAAAATAGTTTCTGCGAACATGAGGGTTCATTTAGGATATGTTACACAAAGAATATCAAACAAAGTGCTCTTTACTGATGACAGTTGCAATAACAACACAAATTTCACTGGAACATCAGAATTTTAATATTTTTATAGTAGTAAGTTATTTAAAGACAAGTCTATTCCTTATTTGAAACTAGTTATAACTGTTTTACATCATTCAATCAAAGTGCTTTACAAAAGGAGGGCAGTATCATTATTCCCATTTCACAGATAGGGAAACTGAGGCACAAAGTAGCATTGTGATGCACCCAAAGCCATCTCAGAGGCTAGTGGCAAAACTTAGAATAGAAACTGGGTATCCTGGGTCTTAGGCCACTGCCTTTCCTGCTCATTGCTACAGACAAGCTTGCATACAGGTACAAATATTAGCTTATTACAACTCATTTAATATGTGTTGGCCAATCAAGAGTTTTCACTGGCAAAATTAGATAAATGTAACATATTCCCTTTAAAAGCACTGTTATTTGACTAAATGATTTAGACCAGGGGCATTAGACATCCAGCCTGTAGGGGGAAGAGGCAGGGATTCTGGCAGTGGGGTGAGCAGCAGCAATCCCCATGGCTCCCTGAACTGAGACAGTAGCAAGG